ATATACACTACATAACCCAATAATGAAAAAAATATGCTTCCAATGAGTTACATTTTTTAGAAAACTTGCATAGTTAAGTGAGTAATAAAATATTAATACACACGTAAATGACATTTTTTGGTGTAATGAGCAATATATATATAAAATAACTTTTATTTAGTTTTCAACTGCACCATATGTTATGTCAATACATGTGTATTTGACCCTATTTAGTAAATTATGATTCTCCTACCTCCATACAACAAATTGCAGTATGGCAACAAGAAAGTTCTGAAATTATAATGCTCTAGCAGTGCATTTTACATTGACACATCATCAGTGCCATTTGTTTTAGTTCTGTATCATTCACATGGGTGAGCAGTTAGACACGTTTGGATTGAATGGGAGAGAATTATAAACAGCCCTTCCTCATGCCACATGCTTTATACTAATCCACAGACACGTATTTTAAAAACCGTAATTTGTCCTGCCAAAATTTTTTTTGTTTTTTTCTGTAATTTGGTAAAAATAATGCATTTTTTTTATTATTGAGAAAGGTGATAGTGTGTGATAAAAAAAGAAAAATGAGTTAAATTCAGATGAGATAAGACATGGTTTCCCCAGTAACATGGGTAATTTAAATAACAATACCCAATCTGTTGCACTATGTTTCATTTAATGTTAATTGATTAGGTTATATTGGGGACGACGTCAAAAGATCGATGTCGGATAAAAAACTTAATTCCTTTAGTTTTTTTCCAAAACCCCACAACCCCGCCCCCCAACTAAAACTTAATTGATAAATATTGGTCATGGCGTCAGACTACATTCACCATTAAATACAAATTGATAATCGGACAGTAGTATTGCATAGACGTTGGTTGTCGGGTGGGTGTAAAAAGATTTTACAAATGCACCTCATTTGACGCACAGATTTACACTCAAACCAAACCATTTTTCTGTTTTTTTTTCCCTTTTCGGTTATTTCTGTCCGTGATTGGATAGAAAAAAAACGAACTACAAATACTCCAAGATTTTTTTGACTTCATTAAAAAATAAAATCGTTTTTGTAGGATGGAAACTTTTTGAGGTTAAAACCCCCCACCCCCAAACTAAAGGAAATAAGTTTTTATCCAACATCGATCTTTTGACGTCGTCCCTTAGTTGAAATGAACATATAAGTCATTATTCCTATAATAGAGCCCTAATTGCATTGTTTTATAATTAGTCATGATGAGAGGAATATTACCCCATCTATATAAAAGTCGAGTAGATAGGGGTGCTTTTCTCACTTTCCTTCAATTGGAAATGCATATGCTGTCCACATACATGTCAGAAACTGAAACTGCAGAATTATCAAAGTTTATTACTGTAAAAGGGTTACATATTCACTAGGTTTTAATTTTGTATACTTTGCTGACTGGAAAATGCGCTAAATTAAAACCCAGTATATACCCATTAAAACCCATTGAATATGCCTGAAATGCTAAATCAACAAAATTTTAAGCTTTCAGTAGCAGAGCTTTTGGTAATCTAGTAGTAGAAATATCCAGTTATTTAAAGTATTATATCAGCTTATATTTTTTTTCATACACGCTAGATAAAGTGGGTCAAAATTTAAACTTGTGACAGTTCAGTATGAGTACCTACTTTAGAGACTATTCACTGTTTTTCTAACAGCTGGTTGTTACATTTTTACATTTTTCTTTCTGCAATATTTTTAATTTTTTTTTAATTTGCAAGCCATCAAATACACTTATAATATACATATATCTAAAGTTGTCTTGTCTCTGATTCATATAATATAAACAGTTGTACTGAAATGTTAAGCTACGCTCGAAATATATTGTATGATACAGCAGTAGTCCTTGAATTTAAGTATTCATTTTAATTCAATGAAGTTTTCACCTAAAGTTTAGGGAAACATCTTCTCCCTTTTAAAAATGGAATAAATTATGCAGATTTATTTTGTGAATAGTACCAAAAGTTGGCTTTTTGTGCAAAGAGTTGTAATATCGTGTTTTGTTTTTTCACAACACATAAATTGTTCCTGAATTCTAACACATGGAGATGGCATTAATTAACGTTAATCACGTCATTTTAAGTGCATCTCTATCATGTACAGCCATGTTGGTTTTATACATTTTGTATGAGTGGGAAACAGCTGCTGTAATTACGTAAACAAAACAATGTATTTTACATGCTTTGTTGTTGCATGGGAGCCATATCAAATGCTTATTTGTAACTGGAATTTATTTTTACTAATAAGGTTGTTCAAATGGGCAACCAGTTTTAAAATTAAATTGCCAATTAAAAAAAGTGTGTCTCAGCTACATATGTAACTGGTCAACCACCAATTTTGATCTCTGAACTTAGATGGAAATGTCTGACCATTATTTTTCTGTGAAAACACTTATTTTGTAACATTTTGGGCATATCCACTAGATTTGATTTTTGGGAAATTATAATTTGAAAATAATTTTGCTCTATTTGGAATATTTATAAATTTGATAAAATTAATAAATTTGACATGTTTACCATGTACAATGTTAGTTTGTCCCATTAAATGTTATAAATTCAATAGCTGCAATTTTATTTTGGTGGCTTTATATATAACCTGCCAGTCTCTACATGTTTTTTTAAATTCATATTTTAAAACATATAATCAATTACCCGTGGTTGTCATGGTTATTTTTTTTAAATTGACAGGTAAATAGAGTACCAATAAATGTACGTACACCATATACATGTATGTATATCTATATACGCTGGTTGATTCACAAACAAAGTACACTCGAATGCCTTGTCCTGGCTAAATCGCCAGCCTATGATCATATGCAAGATCAGCCCAACACGCTTGTTTATTTCTGTGCAGCACGTGCATTTCAGTTAAAAATGAACAAACCGAACAAACAATTTATCCTTCTTTGTGTAAACAGCATCCAAACTAATTTTGGAAATATTGATATTTGG